GGGGTTAAGAATGATAGCTTTCCTTAAGTGGCTTGAGGATTGTGACGCTCTCTGTAAAGCCCTTGGCAGAAGAACTTAGTAAGTGTTCACTAAATGGCTTCTGTGGCTATTGTGATATTCTTGCCTCTCCCAACCTGGGCTGCTGAGTAGCGAGTATTCGTTACTCATCCACTGTATCTGCAGCCCCTGGCAGTGCGTGTGGCACACAGGAAGCATTACAAAAAATACAAAGAAGATAACTATCGTCCTCACCATTATTTTTATGTTTCGGCGACCAAGGTAAACCCCTCTGGCCCGAGCCTGACATCTGCAGGCCCTGGGGCAAAGGTGCGCACAGAGGCCCACACAGCAAATGTCCCGACACTGAACTGTTACAGGTCAGACTGACAACTCGGTGAACAAAATAGGTTCTTTCCTCCTACCTTGACAAGTACACCTTCATCACGGCCCGAGAGGCTAAGTTCCAAATTAGAATCCTCTGAGTAGTGAGCTGGTCCTGAGCGCAGCCCCCCTCCCCCACCGCGGCTGTATCTGTAACCCACAAGTGGGCACCCCAACGTCACCTCCCAGACCTGCAAGCGGGTACCTTGCTGTGTGGTCTACGTTCAGGAACTGAAGACGAGAGCGGTTACAGATTCTGCTCGATTCGCGCTGCTAGGTGAGGCTACTGGCCTGGGAAGGGTCAAGAAGTCCTAGATGCAGTACTGACCAGCCCAGCAACCTTGGAGGAGCCCTGACACTCAGCTGCCTCATCTGTAAAATGGGTCAGCGGCTTTGCCCGCAGCCCAGGGCTCACAGGAGGGTCCACATGAAAACAGAGATGTGGGTCTGCCTGGGGTCCCCCCAGCCTGAGGAGGGGGTCACGAGGCAGGCCAGCTGCTCCAACTGGGGGGATGAGGGTGCAGAGGCGGGGCTTGGGCAGCCCTCCAGGAAGTCAGGCCTCTGAGGATCCTGGGAGGAGGGGCTGCTGAGCCAGCAGAACTGCTTCACTGCAGCCTGGGCTGGCCCCCTTCCCAGCGGCACGGTGTCTCCACCGGGGCCTGCGCAAGCCCTGCTCCCGCCCCCCAGCTCCAGGGGCTCCTTGGTTCTCCTCCAAGTCCTCCGAGGGCCCCAGTGCCCGGTCCCTTACGTATAAAATGGGATGACAAGTGTACCGTCCCCGTGGGCTGCTGGGAGCATGCAGCATATGTCAGCCGCCATCGTTTCTATCATTCTCATAGACGCCACCTCTGTAACTGCTCGGCTGGTGCTTGCTACGGCAGAGACGCTCCACAGCCAGTGTACGGTGTCCCCACTTTCCGCCCGGCAGAGCTGCTGGAGCTGCTCAGGCTGCGTGGGGAGCCCTGCCCGGTCCAGGAGTTACCCCTACGCGTGGGAAACGTGCGGTCCCCAGGCTCTGCCCAGAGCTCCCACAGAAGAGGCAAACAGCTCAGGGCCTGGCCCCTAGGCCACAGGTGGGACCCCACAGGCGCCTGGTGGAAACTTCCAGACTTCCCTTTGCTCCAACCCTCCCTCCTGCCTCCTGCTCTCAGGCTCCTTTGTGGGTCCAGGACTGCTCTGGATGTCCTTCAGATGCTCGGGCTCACAGAGCTCCTCCTCTGCCAGCCTTCCGACCCCAGACCCCACGTATTCATCTGCCGCTCCCAGAGTTGCCCCGGCAGAGCTCACGTGCTTACAGAGGAGGATCAAGGGGATGCAAGGTGTCGGGTTGCCCAGAAGAGGCAAGGCCAGGGGAGAGCCGAGCTCAGCAGGACGGGTGTTATCACGTCCCAGCTGTGGGCCCTCAGACGTAGGACTCTTCGTCTCTGAGCCTCAGTTTCCCCATCTCCAAAACCTGCGTGGTTTCTTTCTTTTTTTTTTAATGTTTTATGTATTTCTAGGAGAGAGAGAGAGAGAGAGACAGCGTGAGCAGGGGAGGGTCAGAGAGAGAGGGAGTCACAGACTCTGAAACAGGCTCCAGGCTCTGAGCTGGCAGTCAGCACAGAGCCCGACGCGGGGCTCGAACCCACGAACCNGTCTTCCTCTCTCTGCCCCTCCCCCTTTATCAGCTCACTCTTTCTCAAAAATAAAACATTAAAAAAACAATTAAAAATACTGTAATTTTTATTTTATTTATTTATTTATTTTTAATGTTTTTAAATTTATTTCTAGGGGAGAGAGAGAGAGAGAGAGATAGCGTGAGCAGGGGAGGGTCAGAGAGAGAGGGAGTCACAGACTCTGAAACAGGCTCCAGGCTCTGAGCTGGCAGTCAGCACAGAGCCCGACGCGGGGCTCGAACCCACGAACCGCGAGATCATGACCTAAGCGAAAGTCGGACGCTTAACCGACTAAGCCACCCAGGCGCCCCAAAAATACCTGTGTGGTTTCTCGTTGGCACAGCCAGGGTGAAGACCTGATACCTTCTGGGAGTTTCTCAAAAAGCTAAACATAGAGTTATCATGTGACCCAGCAATTCCGCTCCTACTATACAGGGAAGTGGAAACACATACTCAAAAAGATACTTGTACTAGAATGTTCATGACAGTATTATTCGTAATAGCCAAAAAGTGGAAACAACTCAAGTGTCCCTGAGCAGATGAGTGGGTAAACCACATGTGGACCAGCCCCGCAATGGAATATTATGAGGCCACAAAAAGGAGTGGATGAACTTTGAAACATTATGCTCAGTGAAAGAAACCAGACACAAGAGCCAGATATTGTAGGATTCCATTTATATGCAATTTCCAGAACAGGCGAATCCATAGACACAGAAAGTAGACTGGTGGTTGCCAGGGGCTGGGGATTTGAGTGGGGAGGGGTAATGGCGAGGAACGGCACAGCGGTACAGCATTTTCTTCTGGGGTGATGAAAATTTTCTGGAACTAAACAGCAGTAGTGATCGCTCAGCACTGTGAATGTATTAAGTGCCGTTGGATTGTTCACTCTAAAAATGGTCAATTTCAGGAGCACCTGGCTGGCTCGGTCGGAAGAGCATGTGACACTTGATCTCAGGGTTATGAGTTTGAGCCCCATATTGGGTGTAGAGATTTCTAAAAATAAACAGATAAAACTTAAAAATATGTTCTTGAGTTTATTTATTCTGAGAAAGACAGAGAGAGAGAGCACACGCGAGCAGGGTAGGAGCCAGAGGGAGAGGGGTAAAGAGAATCCCAAGCAGGCTCCACCATCGGCACAGAGCTGGCTGTGGGCTTGAACTCACAAACCGTGAGTTCATGACCTGAGCCAAAATCAAGAGTCAGAGGCTTAAGCCACTGAGCCACCCAGGGGCCCCAATAAATAAAACTTTTTTAAACAGGTTCATTTCATAGTCTGTGAGAACAATTACAACAAAAACACGCCCAGGGGCGCCTAGGTGGCTCAGTCGGTTAAGCGCAGACTCTTGATTTGGTTTGTGGATCGAGCCCTGTGTCAGGCACTGAGCTGACGGTGCAGAGCCTGCTTGGGATTCTCTCTCTTCCTCAGAACAGTGTCAAGTTCTGAGGCCGTTGTCGCTGGCAGGATGCAGCACGTGGCCTCTGGAGTGGACAGAGGGAGAAAGCTGCAGGGTTGGTAGCTGCCAGGCCCAGGGGACTGCAGGGTGAAGGGGGACCCGTGCAGGCTTCTAACAGGGGTCAGACTTAGGGTTTTAAAAGACCCCTCTGCAAGGCGAAGGACAGCCTGGATCGGGGCAAGAGTGGGTATACGGAGGCAAGCTAGGAGGCTGTTCTGGGAGAGGGGGTGATGGACACAAGTGGAGCATGCCTAGCCGTAACACACTAGGGCACAGGCACACAGGAGGGGATGCCGTTTGGGGTAGGTCCACAATGAACTGTCTTGGCCAGAGACAGTGGAGGTGTCTGTGGGGACTTTGAGGGACAGTGTTTATCAGGGGCTGGATCTGAGCTGGACAGGGTGAAGGGCCTGGGAACAGGGAGGGAATCGGAAGCCCCAGCGAGCGGAAGAGAGCCCTCGGGGTGAACTCTGGAGGGGACTGGCCTCCAGGGGAAGGCAGAGAAAGACTGGCCGGAAGCTCAGCAGCAAGGGGGGCCTCCAGGAGCCGCCCTGCCAACCGCTGTACACTCGTGTCAAGATGCAGAAGGAAAAAGACCCATTGGGCTTGGCGGTGTGAGACCTCCGGTGACCTTGTGATCTTTTCACTGGAGAGCTGGGGGCAAAGACATGACAGTGGGCTGAGTAGTGAGTGAGAAGTGAGTCCTCACTGAGCTGGTGAGAATGGCCTTATGAGGCAGAGTGCCCGCTGGACTGGAGGGGTTGGGGTTGTTTGATGGTGATTAAAGGCTAAGGGGAAGGAAGGAGGAAGGTGGAGAAAGTTCAGGAGGGGAGGTTCCTGGGCCCCAAAGCCTGGGGCAAGGAGGGGAGGTATGTTGCTGTGTTTGTAAGCATGGTGTGAAGAAACCATGCCGTTTTTCTGGAGGGTGAGGCCACAGCGCATGGAGTGTGGGAGCGCTCAGTGGAACAGGAAGCGGAGGGACCCCAGTTTTGGAGGGGTCACTGGGCTGAGGCGGCAGACAAGAGGGTCGGGCTAGCACTGATCAGGACTGAAAGGACCCAGACTGGGATTGTCACGTCTAGCAAATAAAACTACACTACACCCAGTTAAACATTTGAATTCCCCGTGGCAATCACCAGCTTTCTAGGATGGGTATATCGCGCGCAATATTTGGGATACACTTATACCAAAAAATAAGTTCGTTCCCTGAAATTCAGACGTTAACTGGGCGTCCTGTATTTTACTTGGGCATCCTAGCCGGGTGTGGGGATAGGGGATGCAGGGAAGGGGGTGGGCAGGGCCCCCCACCAAGCCTGGACTGGAAAAGGGGAGCTGTCCGAAGGGTGCGGTGCCCGAGTGGGGAGAAGGCTGAGGCCAGGCCTCACGGAGGCCTCCCCCCGCCCCAGAACTTTGGTCTCGCCCCACCACCCCCTCCTAAGTCCCGTGGTGTCGCCCTAGGCCCATCGATAACTCTACGCTCGGCCGCGGCCTCTATCGACTTGCTCCGGCTCCGCCCGACGTCCTGGGCCGCGGCGGAGCGCCGAGCCGCATGTAAGGTACGGGGGCCGCGGGGCGAGGGCCGCAGAGCGGCTGCTGGGTGGCCAGGAGAGCGCGCCTGGACGAAGCTGGCCCAGCGGGACGCAGCCAGGGCTGTGGCCGGAGCACCGGGAAGCCCGAGGGTCGGGCCGGACAGCGCCCCCTCCCATCAGGCCTAGCCGCGGGCCTTGCTACGCATGCGCGGCCGCGGCGCTCGGCTTTCCTCGCGGCCCGTCCGCCTCCACTGCGCATGCGCGGCCCGCCCCTGCGGCAGAGCGGCGACCTGGGCATAACTGCCCCCTGTCGGCGGCGGGTGGGGTGGCGTCCTGGCCGGGTCCGTGGGGCGCGGAACGGAGCACGTGCCTTGGAGCCAGGAGCTGTCCGCAGGTTGCCACGTGTTCTCTGAACCTCTAAGCCTCAGTTTCCTCATCTCTAACATGAGAATGATAATGCGTATCTCTCAGCACCCAGTGCACCCAGAGGGTAGCCCCTAAATAACTGCACCCCTTCTCTTGTGCAGATGCTCTGACCTTTGACCCCTGCCTTTCAGAAGTCGGTCCCGTGCAGGCCCGAGCCTTCTTCCACACCCATGAACACGTCCCCGGGCACGGTGGGCAGTGACCCGGTCATCTTGGCCACCGCGGGCTATGACCACACGGTGCGGTTCTGGCAGGCCCACAGTGGGATCTGCACGCGCACCGTGCAGCATCAAGACTCGGTATCCTCCACTCTAGGGGGGCGGTTCGGGAAGGGCTCCCGGTGGGGGGGTGACAACCTACACACCGGAAGGCATGCCTGGGGTGAAAAGGAGGCAGCAGCCGAGGGAGGCGGCGGCGCCCTCGAGGGTTCTGGCTCCTGGACTCTGTTCTTCACGCTCCTTGACGGACCCTAGCAGGTGAACGCACTGGAGATCACGCCCGACCGCAGCATGATCGCTGCTGCAGGTACCTGTACCCTCGACCCCGGCCCTCGAGCTCTGCTGAGCATCCGGGCGCAGCCGCTCTTCAGTTTAGCCTGTGCCCTTAGGTTACCAGCACATTCGCATGTATGATCTCAGCTCCAACAACCCCAACCCCATCATCAGCTACGACGGGGTCAACAAGAACATCGCGTCCGTGGGCTTCCATGAGGATGGCCGCTGGATGTACACGGGTGGGGAGGACTGCACTGCTCGGATCTGGGACCTCAGGTGTGGGGCCGTGGGCAGGAGGGGCCCGCTGCTGGGTGTGTGCGGCCGGGGGCAGCCAGGAGACCGTCTCGGGTCGGGGGCCTTCAAGCAGAGGCTGAGATGGGCTTCCCGTGTGGGCAGTGTATTGAGGGCAGTGACGAAGGCAGGGTGGGGCAGGGGTGAAGCCACACAGATGAGCCTGGCCTCAGCCTTACACCGCACGGAGTTCTGGAGCACGAACTGCATCCAGTCCCGCCGTGAAGCGGGGCCTCCCCTGGGGGTGCCGGATGCAGAGAGCACGTAGTGGGGCGCCGATCGCATCCACCGCAGTGTGTGCCCTGCTCCAAAGGTCCCGCAACCTGCAGTGTCAGCGGATCTTCCAGGTGAATGCACCCATTAACTGCGTGTGCCTGCACCCCAACCAGGTGAGGGGCACGCACCGGGCCGGCCACTGAGGGGTGCAGGGGGCGGGAGTCTCCTGCCCTCACTCACCTGCCCTGCACCCCAGGCGGAGCTCATTGTGGGTGACCAAAGCGGCGCCATCCACATCTGGGACTTGAAGACTGACCACAACGAGCAGCTGATACCCGAGCCCGAGGTCTCCATCACATCTGCCCACATCGACCCCGATGCCAGCTACATGGCAGCCGTCAACAGCACCGTGCGTCCTGGGTGTGAGCGCGGGGGGGAGGCCGCCTCAGCACCCAGCCCCTTATCCTGCTCTCTCTCGCACACGCGTGGCTTCTTCCCCAGATGTTCCCTCACACTCCCCCACCCCCGCCCCCGGGCTCCAGCTCCAGCCACCAAAGCCAGAAACCTGGGCGTTGATCCCTCCCGCCCTAGCTCATCCAGTGGCCGTCACCTCTGCCTCCAGAGCATCTCAATTCTACTTCTGTCTTGTCCCTGTCTCCTCCTGGTCCCGGTGTGGCTTGTCTCCCTGCACATTGGCTGCGGTGGCTCTGCGGCCTCCCTCTGCCCCCAGACACTCTCCACCCCCCGCGTCACTCTCCCTCGGCTGCCGGAGGGCTCCATTCCCTGCATAAACCCCTTGGTGCCCTGGCTCCTCACCATGGCCTCGGGACGCTGGGGTTCAGCCCCGAACACCCTTTCTGGCCTCATCTTCTCCCCGTAATGTGCCTTACATCTCAACAGATCACTTGCCTCATGGGGTCCCCAGACTGCCCTCCTGCCGTCCCTGCTGTCTGCTGGGCCCTAGTCCCTTCTTGTTCTTCTCTCCCGTTGGGCAGCAGCATTCACAAAGGCCGGGCCTGGCCCCCTGCTCTCAGCTTGCTGGGTAGTCCCTGCAGGCAGGAGCAGAGGTGCCCGCCAACGTCCCCGGCCCCCGGATCGCTGCGCACGGCCCTCGGATCGCTGTGCACGGCCCCCGAACTGGATGGCAGCCCCGATCTGGGTCCAGGGAGGCTCCAGGCTTCCCGTGACTCCCCGCCTGCTTCCAGGGGAACTGCTACGTCTGGAACCTGACTGGGGGCATCGGTGACGAGGTGACACAGCTCATCCCCAAGACCAAGATCCCCGCGCACACCCGCTACGCCTTGCAGTGCCGCTTCAGCCCTGACTCCACGTGCGTGTGGGCTCGGGGGGCCGATGGGCCGGGGCCTGGCTCGTGGATGGCAGGGTGGGGGCAAGGTGGGAGTGGCTACTGATGGCGCCCTCACGGCACCCACGCTCACCCCTAGGCTCCTCGCCACCTGCTCGGCCGACCAGACGTGCAAGATCTGGAGGACGTCCAACTTCTCCCTGATGACGGAGCTCAGCATCAAGAGCAGCAACCCGGGGGAGTCCTCCCGAGGCTGGATGTGGGGCTGCGCCTTCTCGGGGGACTCGCAGTACATCGTCACGGGTAAGCCTGTCCGCCACGCCCTCCTGTCCCAGTCCCTGCCAGCCCCGTGCGCTCTGGCCCCGGGGCTGCACCCTGAGCTGCTGCCCGTGCCCTCCCCACAGCCTCCTCGGACAACCTGGCTCGGCTCTGGTGTGTGGAGACAGGAGAGATCAAGAGAGAGTACGGGGGCCACCAGAAAGCTGTGGTCTGCTTGGCCTTCAATGACAGTGTGCTGGGCTAACCGGTGACCCCTCAGGACCGCAGGCAGCCGTCCGGGCAGCAACTGCTGAGGGTGTCTGTTCCGACGCACAGCTCAGAATGACCGTCCGCCAGCCCCGGCCAGCTGGACCTGAGCTGCTGGCTTGGACGGGCCAGGCCAACACACCCTGGGATCCTGTCAGCTCCCCGTGGCTTATGTGGACGTGACGAGTGTCAGGAGGCTGACCTGAGCCAGCCTGCACTTGTTTCAGCAATTCCAGATCCGCACAACCTAGGGGATCTGAGGCCGGTGCCCCATCCCAAGCCAGAGCTCCCCCCACTCTCTGCCCCTGTTGTGTTCTGAAGCCACAGAGAACACCATCAGGCCAGGTGGAGAGTTTATTAGCCCCGCCGGCAGCCACCTTCCAGGCAGCTGGTGACGGGGACGGCCAGCTGGCTGGCCTGTGGGGCTGGGCCGGGCTTTGAGCTCAGTCTGGGAGATAATAAAAGCAGACCGACACACAGATGTTGCTGGGGAAGCAGATGTCAATGCACAGGTAGATGAGCCGCTGCCTCCGTGGTCCTGGGGGAGGGGCCTCCTTGAGCCCCAGAGGGCCCCTCACCCTTCTCCCTGGAATGCCCTGCAGGAGCCCGGGCCTCTCAATACAGCCCCAACTTACCCTCTGCTCGGCGGGCCCAGTAAATGGGGGTCTTTGTGCAAAGGTGCCGCACCGACTCCCCCACCTGGGTGGGGTCCACCTCACGGTCCCCAAGCACTGCCAGCAGCTCCTGGGCATAGCGGGTGTCCCGGCTGGCGCTGTGGGACCCTCCGGCCTGCAGAGAAGACTCTGGTGGGCCATGGCACAGGGGCACCTGCACTTCCCCTGCCCGGGGCAGGGTCCAGCCCCGGACACACTGGCCCGGGGCCATCGCCACCCTCAGCTCTTGTCATCAGCCTCAGCCAAGGGAAGACAGAGCTTCTGTTCCTTGAAACCAGAGCTCCATTCCGCCGCAGGGCCGGGGTATACACAGGACCCTTTGTCCCCTGTACCCAGGACCCTGGCCGCGTGGGGCCGCTTACCCTGGAGCTGTTCACCAGCAGCTCTAGGGTCTCGCGATCTTGGGGTTCCATCAGGCGGAGGAAGCAGGCCCGGTGTTCCGAGGGGCGGTAACAGACGCAGCCCTGGGGAGGCAGGTGGGTGAGGCGGGACCATCTGAACATTCTCCAGTGCTGGTCACCCCCCCCCCCCCCGCCCATTCACTCACGCTCTGCCCATCGAACAGCACTGCCCAGCTGCGGTTGCTCTGAGCCGGGGTCACCCGGATGGTCGCCACGTTCCGGGTCGCATCCACCTGGGCGGTTTGGTTGGACGGGGGTGCCCTGGGGCTTGGGTGGGTCAGACGGAGCATCTGTAGCAGAGGCTGAGATCAGGAAGCCAGAGCTCAGCAGGGCAGGCTGGGGCGGCCCCTGACATACCCCCAGTTCTCCAGTGAGGTTTCTGGCCCTTCCACCTGTCTGGTGCTCCTGCCGCTGCTCGGGGCCCTGGCTCCACTGCAGGGCTGGGGTGTAGCGGCCTCTTCTTCCCCCTCCCCCCCTACTGTGTGTGCCCCTGGCTGGGTCCCGAGGAGGAGCTCACCTTGGGAGGACTGTGAGCGAAGCCAAGAAGTCCTCCAGCCACGGCCCCCGCAGCGGCCAGTGCCAGTAGCAGCAGCAGCAGGCCAGGGACCTTCCAGCCCCCGAAGCAGGGCTTGGCCTTCACCTGGGGGCACGCTGCGGTCAGTGGGGACTAGCGCAGAGACTGAGGAACAGGCTGGCCCCTGAAGGCAAGGATGGAGGTGTGGGAGGTGGGCACTGCGCTCCTGTCCCCTGCCCAGGTCAAGCCCTGGGTCTCTGTCCCAGGAGAGGGCACCAGGTGGTTGGAGGCACTCACCTGGCTGGGCCCGGAGCTCTCCTCGCAGCAGCCCTGCTGCTCCATGCTGCAGCCCTGGTGACAATGCGCTGATTGTCTGCTGCCCCTTGCAGTCAGCTAGGGAAACCTCAGTGCGGTGATGAGCCCAACAACTGTGCCGGCCCCCTCCTCTGACCCCCCTGCTTCCCGCCAGCCCAGCCACCTGATACCAGGGTCAGAGCCAGGACAGCCTCCATCCTGGTGGTGGTGGGGGGGTTGCTTGTCACTGTGTCTGGCTCTGACACCTGGCCATACCTGGCCGTGCAGACCAGAGGGCCACAGAGCATGGGTGTCAGGGAAATCAGGTCCCCCTGATTGGCACCAAGAGCAGCCCAGGCCCAGGCAGAATGACTTTACAGTCTGCTTGGGGACAGGCTTAATTTTTCTAAAGAGGCCGTTCCAATCTCTTTATTGTTACTTCTGGATTCCTAGGGCTCGGCACGTGACAAACTGTCAATAAATGCATTTTATGAATGACTGGTAAGGGGGTCTGCGCTGCCTGTGTCCTTCGATCCCACATTCCCCCCTCTTGCCACTTCCCAGTCCCTCAGACACAGTTTGCAGGTTTGAGACCAGGATGGCTCCCAGGCAGCCTCCTGAAGCCACCGCACCCCTGGGGCTGCCCTGCCCGCGTGGGTTCACTGAGGCCCTGCTCTGCTCCTAGCCTGCATCTCCAGCTTCTTTGGGCTGTGGATTGCGACAGGGCCCTGCCGGGCACTGGCAGCTCGCAGGGGTGTGCATTCCTAACCAGCTTCACCCTGTGGCCCTTTCCTGTGCCTCCTTTTTCCTAGTTCTTCTGAACGCACCCCTCTATAATGGGCCTGGGATGCGGTGGTGTCGTGGGGGTCAGCGCCCCAGCTCTGGAACTGCAATCCCAGAACATGTCCTTCTTGGAGCCCCCCCCCGCGCCCACGCTGGGCGAGGCTGCTGCAGCCTCTGTACAAGGGCTGCTGTCGAAACAAGGGCAAAGAACGCCAGAGTCAGCGCAGGTTTGAGAGTTTAATACAGATTTGGGTTCACACAGTGCAACAGGGGCAGAGACGGGGGGCGCTCGGGCTCCCGGGCCGCTGCCCAGCGGAAGCGTTGCTGACTGCCGCACCTGCCGCGTGCTCCTGGTGTGGTGACAACGCCCTGACAGGCCTGCTCAATATCCAGACCCACCTTGAGCCGACCTCGCAGAGCCAACGTCAGCACCACCAACCTCACAGGTGCTGGCCGCCCTTGCGCCGCCCCGCAGCAGAGTCCAGACCCCAGACAGCCCGGCCCTGGGAAGAGCTGTGGGCTCGGGACTCCCTTTATTGCTGAGAATTTAGAGATTCAGTGAAGGAGCGGCCCTGGGGCAGGAGAGAAACCGGGCAAACGCCAGTGGGACACAGGGAGGGCGCCGGGAAGGAGTCTGCCAAAAGGAACAGCTTCCCAGACCCTGCCCTACGGGTACGGCTGCACAGTCTGCTTAGCAGGTCAGCAACTTAGGGAACAGGCAGGAAAGGCCAGGGCCCTCTGCCAAGAACCTTTGGCTAGCAGGTGGGCCCAGCCTGGCCTCCCGCTGGCCTCCCACAAGGGGCTCCAGAGGCAAAAGAAGTGGTCTCGTGGACCGTCGGCATCTCACCCCCACCCCGACAGGGCATGGGAGGACAGGAAGAGATCAGATGCCTTGTAAAAGGATTTCCTGTTCTTGGGGACACCGCTCTCCTCCCCCGCCCAGAGGGCGCCTAGGGCGACAGAGAGGCAATCGGTGGCCAGCACATGCCTGTAGCCTTGCTGCTGGCTGCGGGGCACGGAGACTTCTCCAGTGGGATTTCCCCTACAAGACAGAGCACAGCTATTAATGAACACTCTTAAGATTCAATTCCACCGTTTGACAAAAGTTGTTCAAAATCGTAAAAAAATAATTTTTGGTACCAACGCTATTCTGAGCTCTCAGCGCGGCTGCCCAGAGTTCAGCAAAGACATCCACACCCTCTTGGCTGCTCAGCCAATATGCTCAGTTCAAGTCAGCAGGATTTAAATGCACACTTGAGAAAACTGAGGCTTAGCTGGACGGAATTTACAGAACTCCGTGACCGCATGTAAGGTGTGGCAGCCCTGGGTATCTGAAACGGAACCGACACTTGATTGTGACATCAGAGTGGTTTTTAAGGAAGTGTGGGGTGGCGGCGGTGAGGTCAGCACCCTGCAGCCCAAGGACACGGATAAAGCCTGCCCTCCACTCCCCCCCCCCACAGGTGGGTGTGCAGCAGGGCCACCCGCAGATGACCACGCAGACGGGCCCTGGGCTCTTTGTACACGTTCCTCACGACACTCAAAATTATCGGACCGTCCTCCCCTTTACCCTGTAAAGGGGGCCCGATCCCTGAATAAGATCTGCAATAAAACATGGAACATCCCTAGACCTGCCTCAGTCCCATGAGCAGGTGGGGTAACCAGCGTGAGGTTACCCGAATCCTGAGCAGATGCTAATAAGCCTGCCCTCGTCAACGGCTCTGGATGTCCAGGAAGCCCACAATGCCCTCGGGGTTTAAAAGTGCATCTTCAAACATAAGCATCTGTAAACATCGCCCCCCAAACGTTTACTTACAAGGTCAGCAACTAGTGCCTTTACTTAACTCCAAGTACACTCTTCGAAGCACCTAGCTGAGCAGATGCTTAAGCCCCACCTATTAATTTGGGTAAGTGGTTTTCAATTTGTTTTATTCTGGAGATTAAAGACACTTAAGTCTTTAACCTTGAAGGGCGGGCAAAAGGTCAGCTATGCTGTCAACATAGAAGTCAGGGACCATTTTCTTCTTAGACACGCAGTCACTTTCCTGATTACTTTTCACATCCCCTAGAGTGGACACTCCGGTGAGGGTCAGGATGGTCTTCAGGCCACAGGTGACGCCCAGGAGGATGTCCGTGTCCAGGCGGTCTCCCACCATGACGGTGCGCTCCGGGTTGATGCCGTACTCCTGGGACACGCAGTCGAAGATGAAGCGGCTGGGCTTCCCTATGATGTCGGCCTGGCGCTGGGCGGCCATCTCCACGGCTCGGACCAGACAGCCGGTACCTGCGGGGCGGAGAGGGAGGGGAGGAGAGCACCCGGGGTCAGGGGACAGGAGCGGCCCGCAGCCCGCCCCGCGCCTCCCCCCGCTCCCGCCCCGCACGGACCCGCAATGAAGCGGCCGTTCTCGAGCGGGAGCCGGTTGTCCATGTTGGTGCCCACGAGCAGGCAGCCGGGCTGCTGCAGGTAGCGCACCGCCTTGGTGAGCTTCATGTAGCTGAAGTGCGGGTCGAAGCCCACCACCACGGCGCGGACGTCGGGATCGAGAGGCGCGTCCAGCCAGTCGCCGGGGCTGTCACCCTGCAGAGGCTCGGGCCCCACGCCCACGCAGGAGACGCCCACGGCCTTCAGCTCCGCGGCCAGGGCCTCGCTGCCCAGCACGTAGGCCTTGGGGGCCGGTGCGCCCGCCAGGCGCTGGCGCAGGTAGAGGGCGGTGCAGTAGGCCGTGCCGAAGACCTCGAGGCCGGCGCCGGGCCCCGCCGGGCCGCCGAAGCCCAGGCGCCGCAGCTTCTCGGCGTAGGCCTCACGGGTCTTGCTGCTGTTGTTGGTGATGAAGCCGAGGCGCTTGCCGCGGGCCCGCAGCGCCGACAGGGCCTCGGGCGCGCCGGGCACGGCTGTCTCGCCGCGCCACAGCACGCCGTCGCAGTCGAACAGCAGCGTGTCCACGTCGGCCAGCAGCGCCTGGGCCCGTTCGGCGCTCAGCCGCACGCAGCGGGCGTCGTCATCGCCGGCCTCCGCCGCCGCCATGGCCGCCCGCCGCCGCCACCGGCCGCCCGCCGCTGCTGCCACCGGCCGCTCCTTGCAGCCGCCCGCCGCCGCTCCCGCCCCGCCCCCGGCGCGCTCATTGGCCCCGCTCCTCGCGCGCACCGCCCATTGGACGCCACCTGCGCCAATCCGCCCCCGCCTCCCGCGGGCTGCGGAAACTCAGCGCCAACCGTCGCGGCCCGGCCCTGGAAGGCGGGCGGCCATTGGCTGTTGAGCCTGAGGCTCACCGGCGATTGGCTGGAAGGGAGCCAACCGGCATTCAGAGGGGAGCGTTCACTGCGGAAACGCTGCGGAGGAGCCCGGAGCCGGCGCTGGACGTAAGGCCGCTGTTCATTGGCGGCCGCGGGGCAGCTCGCCCATTGGCGGCGCTTGGTCAGCTTAGGTGACGGAGGACCTTAATCGAGTGACCCCGGGCCGGGCCGGCTGCCGATTGGCTGGCTTCTCCGCGGCTGGGGCGCGGCAGGGCGTTGGAGGTGGGGGCAAGGAGCCGTGGTCCTCCTTGGGGCCGGCGTCACGTCCGCACCTTTCCTGGGCGTCGCCGGGCCGTGCCCTCCGCCCTGGACACGATTCGGACACGGTGTTAGCGCGTGAGCCGATTATGACCAGCGCCGAGCGCAGCCCGGGGTCACTCCCGGAAGGCCTCGCGTTCCCGTACCCAGTCCTTCGCAAAAACGCTCTGCCTGTGCCTTAGTGGTCCGGTGAACGGAAAATTAATTACAAGGCGGCGGGATTAGGGTCTAAAAAGACCCTACGTAGAACACAGCA